AGAGATCCCTTGGGGGCCCTCTTGAGGCCCTTTGGAGGCCCCCCTTGGGAAACTTTGATACGCGGGGCCCGGGGCAGATTGCCCACTTTGCCCCCCCCCCCCCCCCCCCCCGGGCCCCCCCGTCGCCCCCCCCCCCCCCCCCCCCCCCCCCCCCCCCCTCTGGGCGGCCCTGGGGATATCACAGCCTGTCGTTCCTTGACTCCGATGGCCACTTCGAAAGTTGGACGCCAGGGTACCGAGCCGTTCTTTTCGCAACCTGGAGGAATATTTTTGCTCCGTTAACTGCTCAGTTTTGGATTCATGCAATGAGTCCCTAACCAAGCGATCCGATTGCAAAGATTTTCTCAACGTTTAACGCTTGGAGAGGAACATTTTATCATACCTCTCTGGTGAAGAATTCGAGCTCTAACTGTCTCCTCAAGACGTTACTCCCTCTCAGGGCGACGTAGACCTTCCTCGATTGCAGCGAGATTTTGACATGCTGAAGGATGTGTCCCAAGTCAGAAACCTCACAGTAACCTTTATTCACCTGAGAGACCTCCTCAAGAACGACGAAGCTTTGCGTACGATCCTAAGTGAAGTGATGATCTTAGTTGAACTTTTCTACACCGTTCCTATCACTACATGTCCTGCCAAAAGATCCTTCAGTGCACTTCGCCGTCTGAAGAACTACTTGCCACCACGACGCAGAAACGTTTGAACCATGCGGTACTACTTCACATTCATTAAGTGCACACTGATAACTTAGATGTCAAAAGCTTGTGCACGCGTTTATCAGTCGAAACGTGAAGAGGGGCAATACCTTCAAGTTTTGAAAGTGAATAGAGTGCTTGCAGCTTCACTTAATCGTTGGTATTTCCTTCCGAACGTTCAGAGAAGCATCCCAAGCAGCACATGACGTCCATGCTACGTAGCTGCAACGTTATTCTGCGACCACTGCTACATCGTCTCAACGTCATAATGGACGTCGCGGCGACCTCACCATGTCCCAAAATGTAAACGTTGCTGCAACGTTTGAAAAACGTCGCATTCCAACTTTCTGTGACGTCGACGCGACGTCACTGCCACGTCGACATCAAAATTCCTATCGTTAACCTTCGTGAATTCCTTCCCTATGATATTGTACTCCATATACAATACAGCCTTGTTTTGCCACTGACAGTACTCATTACAGTGCATGACAAAGGCAGAAACACCCGTTATGTTCAGGCGAGTGTCTGCAGTACCAGTCATTTACTTCCTCATTCTACCGACAAGTTCTCTATCACTCATACATTTTCTGGACCTCCTTTTAGGGAGAAGGAATCTTTTCGCAAACGGGTTCTTGTCGGGAATACGAGCTTGTTTATGGCCTGGGCTCCATGAATCTGTCTTAAATATGTAGGTAAAAAATTATGAAGTGTCCACGTTTATTGATTCCTATAATGAGACTAGGCGAAAAATATGACGAGGTACTAAAAAATCCTGCGAGAGACGATTCCAGGGAAAGAGGGAAGTGAACAGAAAAAATTAGTTATGTAGACCAACTGCGGATTGTTCACAACTTCATTGTGTTCTATCATACATACGCACGACTGCCCAATATTACCGCTACAGTTAATGTTGCATGTACAGTCGAGGTCTTCGTCTGGTGATCTGGTACACATTACTGTGAAGGTTGAAAATTATTGTTTTAGACGAAGCCTAAATCTCTCTGAGAGGGGGGAAGGTGGCTTGGGTTAAGTACAGTAAGGACACGAGTATACGGAATCGTAGCTCAGGAGTACAGTCTCTGAGCCCTTCCATCGTTGAGGCATTCCAGCTCAAGTGATTCAGGGGTGGTTGCTCTTGAAAAGTAATGCGCATGAAGAGTAAAAGTAGCAACACGAGTAATACATCAATGGAAAGCGCTCGGAGGGAGCTTTTATTTGACATAGTTACAAGTTTATATCGTGTTTAAAACAGGAAGTACGAACCGCCAAAATTGATGAAAAAAGACAGTTTTGGACTTTTCACATTTAAATTTAGGCTGTTTAAAAAAACGTAGGAAGTGGAACTTTAGTTCTTGAAAATTTTCCATTCCCTTAGTCTACAATGTTACGAAAGGTCGTGGTTTTACCATGCATCCTAGTAATAATAATTTGCGTGCAAAATTCTGCACTATTTACAATTTTGGAAGTTGCGTAACTCATTTTGTCATAAGCGCAGTAGAAAATGCATTTATTACTGCGATTCTAGATTGTCTCAGCTTTACTGAATACTAAGTCCAAAAACGCGTTTCTAGCTCGACTAGGACCAAAGATAGCGCTTTAGCCCTTAAGGCCACTTTTCCTCTTGGGGGCGAAGTTTGGGGCCGCATATCTCGAGATCCGTTAGAACCAGAGAGACAAAAATTTTTTTTTCCTAAGTTTTGAATGCCAACATGCAATAACTTTTTCAAGGAAATCGGAGTCTGAAGCCCAACGAAAGTGACTAAAATTTGACCACTTGAGCTGGAACGTCTCCGTTCTCAACAAATCGCCGCCTATGCTATCGCCTCTCCAGCAGACATGGAACTTCTCGGCGGAGAGCTTCCGCTATGTAACGTGGCCATGCTTTGCGCTTGTTCTCGGGGTCAAAGTAAGAGCACTCAGCTCTCATCCGCAATAAGCACACACCCCAGAAGACATCACTAGCTGCTGCATACTGAAACGGCTTCCTCTACGCAATGGTTCCGCGTTGGCCACGTGCAGGGGCGGATACAGGGGGGGGGGGGGCGACCGCCTCCCCTATGGCCAGGTTAGCATTTGATTTATTTATTCAAAATAGCATCTGCATTAAATTTTATTGGAGCCAATGAAATAGGTACTCAAGTTCTTCCTCTTGGCGAAAAATAAAAAAGGCGGAAGGACGAGAAATGGTGGTAGGCGGGGTAGGTAGGTAGGAACTTCGGAACTGCCCCCCCCCCTATGAAAAATTCCTGTATCCGCCCCTGGCCACGTGCACACTGGGCAGCCAACGCGACACTCAGCGAGCAGAGATCTTCGGAATTATCCCAAGCTCGATTGAAGGGTATTATCATCTTTGTCTCAGTAATAAATTTTGAGTGCCAAATTTGCTTTTGATTTCTCTGGTGGAAAGAAATAAAGTAAAAAACGAAGTAACTAGAGGACTAAAACTTGGGAGGGACGAATTCCACTCTAACATATCAGCTCGTGATTTACGAGTATATTTCATCACCAACTCAAAGGACATTTCATTTTCATGGGATTAAGTCATTTACTTTGGTTCTGGGATCTTTCCCGAAAACTGCCTTGCTGTGGCTCCTGAGATTTTGGGGAAAAAACAGTTGTCAGACTATACCTTGTCCATGCATAGAGATCCTGGTTCCTCCACAACTGCCGGGAGCAGAAATGTAGCATTTCTGGAGCTATTCCTTATTTGAAGAAAAAGGAACAGGCCTATGCTAGATTTAATGGCTCCTATTCATTTCAATGGGCAATCACGAGGGCCTCCCGAATAGTTGCGTAGTGACTCCGGAGACTTAGTGCAGCGCATGCGCACGCTTCTCATCATGGAGTTTCTCATGCTGAGAATTTCAGAAGGTTGCAAAAAACGTTAGTTGTCATCATGTCTGACCGAAAGGACGTGGTTGTCTTCAAAACTCCCAATCTCCCTGCACCAAAAAAGAGACGAAAGGTCTTGGACGAGGATGAATACGTTCTTGTGAGTCTATAGCGACATACTTTCTCCCTATATCCTTCTCATTTGCACTTGTTACAGTTGTAAGCATAGGCTTTGTCGGAAACGAGAGTAGACGTAGGCCTAGGGGCCTATGGGTATGCTTTTGGCGCTGGAACTGGTGCTTGGGTACATCTCAGGTTTTCAATGACCTAAGGAAGAATATGCATAGTTACCATAACCCTTTGAGAGACTCCTGTTGTGGGATGACTTCTTGTAACGTTAGGGTGATAAGTACGTGGAATGCGTTAATTGACGATGTGACAGCCCCGCACCATGACTTTCCTTTATGAAGAGGTTTGATGTCTTAGTGGAGAAACCATGAAAGAGCTATGTAGTTGTGCATTACTTAGTTGAAGGTGGATTTGCTTTCACGAAAATATCAAAATCTCTGATGGGTAAGCTTATCTTATTGTGTATGAATGTGCGACCTTGAAATGGAACATCATTTTAGGCATAAGTGCTGCATGATGTCCCTACCCAAACATTGAAGTGAATTAGTTATACCTGCAGGTAGACACAGCATCAACACATGTCTTGCAGTCCACAAACTGCTCATTCATGCATTTCTCAAAACAAGAACTGCAGTTTTTATGTTTGATGAATGAATTGCATAGAAGAGGCATGCCATACCATTAAACCATTTACTGGAATAGCAAGGCTGTATTGGGTCCAGAAATGAACACTTGGAAGAAATCCTAAAATGGTGGTAGTGCTTCATGATTGCATACTGCAGGCTTACCTGAGTAGAATTATATTCCTCATAATTATCTTTTCATTCTTTTTCTTCATATTGCTCAGAATTGTAGGACATTTCCTGCAAGACAGTAATTACTGAGTTCACAAGAATCTGAATGCCTGAAAGCTCCACATTCTGCTGTTAAGAGTGATATGAAAGCCTTTTCAAATGTGGGAGGTTTAAACATTTGAACTCAGTTTTATAAAGAGTCAATTTTTAGATTAAAAAAAAATTTTTTGTACCATGTACATCAATTTTCATTGTTGAGGTAATGTGGGGAAATATATTCTCGGAACATGTGAATATTCATTTGCATTCATTATTGAAGGAGAAATGAATTTTCCAAAGTATCAAATGACTTATAAAACACCCTGCACATATCACCACTCCACCAACACCTTTCCTTTGAAAGGTATTATCCTGGGACTTCACCCTGTGCTGTACATAATCAGACTTTCTTGCATCAAATGGGTTCAGCTGACCCAAGTGGTTACTTGTGACATGGCAATGAAGCCTATCAAGTATGACTTACTTTTCAGTGAGGGTAACCTTTCAGATACTGGTCAAGGAAGAATGGCCTCTGAATATTTTGTCAATTTGGGCATTGTACATTTTCAATATTCTGAAGACTTCCTTTTCTCCTATCTGTAAATATACAAGCCCTCTGGAGAATATGATGCCATCAAGGGAGATCCTCGTCAAGCCCTTCTCAGAATGCTCTTGAATGGCCTTGTTCTGTTTAGCAATGTTTTACTAAACCAATACAAATGGGAAATCAAGACTCAAAATTATGACAATTACATTCACTCCATTGTCAGTTAGTTGGCCTCCAATATGGCTACCCTTCCAATAGTTCCAATGCAGCCTACAAGGCCTGGGTATCAGACATATTCTCTCTTGGACTTCAAATTCCACAGTAAAAAATGTTAGCCTGTCTGCTTGGTTTTGCTTACCCTCATAAAGAATAAGAATTTGTGAGAGTAACCATTTAAAAGCTGGACACAATATATTTTTTATGTTGATATTGTAGAGGTTGACAGGAGATGTTACAAGTTACACATCAGCAGGATAAATGAACAGATGTTTTATTTTCAATGAATTGAAGATATTGAGCTTAACAGAATATTTACCCTGGTATAAAAATGTATACCTTAGTTGTTGAATGTAACATCAGTGTATTAGCTAATATAATAATAGAACATTGGCAATGCATTAACATCAGTGTGTCTTTATTCTGAAAGGACCACCTCAAGTGTGCTGAACCATAGCACACCAAGATGAGACTTTGTCAATTAAATGGTCCTAGAATCAAGGTTCACAAGGGTTCAATTGGAGTGTGACTCAAATATTCCTGTTCCAACCTTCTTATTCCTTTTCCCCATCCTCAGAAGGAATAGCAAGTTCTGGAGTGAGACAGGAGTCTTACAAAATCTATTGTTTGTTGCAGGCATTGGAGAATATCATAGAACATGATTTCTTCCCAGACCTGAATAATCTGAAAGTCCAAGCTCAGTACTTGGTTGCATTGGAAAATAATGATACAGTGACCCTCCGTTCCTTATATGAAAGGTATACTTCTGGCAGACCTGATACATCCAGCACAGGAAAGCAAGGTGAGAACATTATGCATTATGCTATGAGACCTATTTCACAATGTGTTAGAGCATTTAGAACTTATTTTTTCATTTATAACATTCTGCTGCTTCTCACAGGATGTCCAGCCAGTCCAGCAACATTTGAGACCCCAGAAGCCCCTAATAGAGGGGAACCAGAGAGTGAAAAGTCTATCAAGAAAATTTCCCATGAGAAACGAGAAGACAAGTCTTCTTGTGAGGGTTCAATTTATTTTCTAAATTCACTTAGCAGTTCTCTTCCTACTGAGCATGAAATTCAACTATTTTCATTTGTCTTTGTAGGTAAGGAACAGAAGATGCAGGGTTTGGATGCCTACCTCAACTCTCATACTAGTGAGGACAACCAGAGTTTCTCAGAGATCATGGAAGAAACAGAAAAAAGACATAGAGTGAAAGTGAGTACTGGTGTTGAATGGAAGGAACCTGGTGCAGGTGAATTCCTGAGCCAAGCCTCTGGTGTTAGTGAAATTGTCTTTCTGTTTTTTTTTTTTTTTTTTTCATCATAGCATCCTTGGTTGTACAAGGAAGAGGAGACATTGGAGAATTCTCTGGTCCTTCCAGCCATTGAGGATCAGGCTGATCAAGCATCTCGTCCCAATCAGATTGATACATGGGATTATAAGAATAAGAACTATATCATGTATATACCAGAAGGTAGAGTATCACTCGTTCATAAAGCTTTGACAGGCTTTTTTAGGTCCTGACAATCTAAACATGATGAAGTTTGAATTGTTTTTCTTCCTCTTGATTGAAGGTGCACCATGGACCAAGGAGGAGGAGAGGGAGAGAAGGCAAAATCAGCGTAGCATTGTACATAGGAACACTCGGTTAATTAAATCTCTATGGAAGACAGGGGAACAGCTAGTGAAGGGAAACCAAATGCAGAATATTGTTGAGGGAAAGGTTGGGATTGATGGCAAGGAACTTGCCCCTGCAGCAGATGCTGGTCCTGGGATAAAGGGTTACTCATTTGTCAAGACCCCTTCTCCTGCACCTGGTAAGCTATAGACTGGTTCATATTTTTGAAGTTTTTTTCTTTCCCCACATTCCTCCAAGAAGTCTATGTCAATTACGTATACTCACCCTGATGATATTGATGTGCGTAGGAGTGGATGGGACACCATTGATGACATGGGGAGAAGTAGAGACCACCCCATATCTACTGGAAGGAGGTGGAGGGAGTACACCATTACTCTCAACACCAACATTTAAGATCCCTGACACTCCTTCCAGAGAGAGACTTGGTCTGCAGCTGGCTGAAGCTGCTTCACGAAGCCTGAGGGAAAAGAAAAAGAAAGCGCTCAACCTTGCCAAGTCTTCTCTCAAAGGGTATGTCCTCTAGACCACTTCATTTCAGTCATCTATGTCTCCATCTCTTACCCTCTCATTTTGCAGTTTTTATGCAGTAATATCTGACAGTTACCAATTACCTTTCAGCACCCTGTGTGGTCCAACCTGGTCCAACCTGGTTCTTTGTGACAGTATGTATACGAGGGGTGATCAAAAACGTTCTAACCCCAAGGCACTTTCAGTTGCATTACACCATTCTTACTCTTCTCCATGACAAGACAGATGTCTTTGATGGTGACTGGCAATTTTCATCTTATTTGTCAATTAAAGATGGCTTCTATGATTTTTTTTTCTATGTGCTACTAAGGGATCTGCTTCAGAGATATTAAAATAGAGGAAAATGCTGTGATGAATTTTCTAACCCTTAAGGAGTTGATCTCCAAGCAGGTCTTTCAGAGCAGGGTTGGTAGGATTCTACTCTCTCAGAACTTTCTGATCACCCCATGTACTCCTGGTGCTGAATTGAATGGGTTTTCTTATGTCCTTAATTTTTTCCAACTAAAAATAAATTATGGTCAAAATTTAGATGGACTGGGTGACTTCTTATATAATAATTTGCAAGCTGCCTAATTGTTGCAGTAAGTAGCTCAGTTGGTAGAGTACATATATTTCTTGTCAAGAGTTGGTGATGGAATTGGACCCTAGGGAATGAGAATGTGATAATTTCAGGACCCCAGGGGGAGGGATGGCATTGGAGCGGTTAGCATCCATGTCACCTGCAGCACAGCATCTGGCAACAGCACGTCTTGGGATTCGCCTTGGCACAGACAAAGCCCTTCGTGCATCATACACCCCAAGCCCTCAAAGACGGCTTTCAGGGACCCCCACACCAAGTCCTCAGAGGTTGACAAGAAAGGGTCAAGATCATACTCCCACCATTGAAAGGAGCTTGACCTCCACACTTGGGCAAGCAGAGTCAAGAGAACTCACTGACAACCTCCTCCACCTCCCCAAACGAGCTAAAGCATCTGATTTTTTCTGAACTTTATGTTTGCAGTGGAAAATATGCATTATGAATGTGATGGAATGGATTTGAGTCGTGTCCTTTGCAAAATTGTTCATATCTTTATAAAAAGTACCACATCATCCTGAAGTTGGAAGTAACCATTTCCATCTTGTCCACCTCATCTGATTGGACAACTTACCAGGCCAATGTTATTGAAGAAGAGTTGAAGACTCTTTTTAGCTCTTTGATAGTGGTTTAGGTGGGTTCATGATTCTTTATTTTCTATGTAGTCTCTGAGTCGAGTAAAACCTACAGGGGATCTTTTCAGGGATGAACATTAATGAAATAGAGGCAGACTGTTGACAGTGCAGTCAGGTATGAGATGATTTAGGAAAGTAAGAACCATCTTCTGCTCTTAATTTCTTTGAGACAAATTCTTGTCACCCAGCAGGCTCTTCTTCTTCTGTTGGTAGGCAAGATATGTTTTTTACAAGTTGATTATCCTCTCTCGATCTTACAATGATTATAGACAGATTGTACTCTCACTTCTCACTTATGTTCTACTGTGCCATTTTCTTGAATACTCTCAATAGACCCTTTATGGGGAAAAAAGTAGTTCACAAAAAATATTTCATATTTTATATATTTCATTTGCAGACTCCTTACATGCCTTACTTCATGTAACAATTGTGGGGAAAAAAGTTCCTACACCACATCTATGCCATAGCAATTCAAGGGCATGTGTGTGACTCTTTTGCTATGGTGGGAAATTATTTTCCCAGTGTACTATAAACACACTTCAATTGCTGCTATGGTTGCCATAGACAACATCATGATCGCTATTGAAACAATCTGGTAGTCAGTCAGTAGTAGGTAGGTCAGTGCTGGTATTTTGGCAAGACGATGGTCATGGATATTAAATATTTAGCTTTCAAACTTGAGAGGGGCATCTGTTGCTAAACCAAGTGGTTGAAAATTTACGTGGAAGATAAGAAGTAACTGCAAATATCTTGGGACAAACATGGTGATAAAAAGAAGTCACTGTGCAGTAGAATTAATTTATTTTGTGGTATTTGTTTAGTACTCTACTTTGTATCACATGTATTAGATCATCAAAGACAGGAATTCCTGCTCAATACTTCAAATATTAGCACCATCCCTGATCAACATCATTTATTGACTGTACTTCCTGACTACAATGAGACCTCCTACATCATGTTGTGAATTCTAGTGCACAGTAACTTTTTGATCACCTTGTACATAATTTATGCATGACCAACTTCTAGAGAAAAATTAAAACAGCTGTACATTTTTTTCCTTTCATCTGGTAGGAGAAAAGCTGGAGTCTGGATACGGGATGCTGTAGAATATCATTCCATGCTCAAAGGTGTGAAATGCTATGTTCCACAGGCCAAAAATTTGTCCAGGACATTGGTTTCCTAATGCACAATTCAAATACTCACTTTCTGCTATGAAAAATTTGGAAAAATGTGCCAAAATGAATCAAACCATCTGGAGGTAGGTCTCGAAAAGGTATACTATGTGCAGGAAGCTGATGGCTGGATATCTAGCAGGAACGAGCTGGGTATATCTAGTTATCTTTTTCTTTCATTTCCAAAATTCAGTGACTTTGCATTTCCTCAATCTGATAGGTTTTTTTTTTTTTTCAAACCTGACTTTTTTGGGTTGGTGCTATGATGGTGATGCTTCCCCATTCCATGCTGAGAATCCCGTTACTTAGACATTATCTTAATATTCCCCTTTTTTCCCCTTCCATTTGTCGGAGCATCTTTCTGCTATCGCTTAAATTTAATGGTACTCATTTTTTTCTTCCCTTTTGATTGTCTTTTCTGTTGGACCCCTATCCACTTTATTTCTGCCATCCTCCTATTGCAGCATGGATTCTTTTGTGTATTAGCACTTTCAATGTGGAGTATTTAGCTGCCTGCTGTCCCCACTGTGCTGGGGTTTTCATGGGATTTAGCCCAATTTGCTGCTGCTCAACCTGAGGTATTTTCATTGTGTGCTGTTGGAAATCCAAAAAAAAACTTGTTCTTTCACAAGGAGATGTAGTAACATCCATGTCTTTCTTCACATCAAGTTCTGTAACACTTGCACATGATTGAGCAAATTGCAAAGCAGTGGTAGGCATAGGTATTTCACTAAATAATTTTTGCTCAATGTCATCACCATCCTCACCTTCTCTACTATCATCAGATAAAATGAAGTCACTGTCATCATCAAAAATTTCGTCTTCAGAATTACTGTCAGCCAATTCAATTTCCACATCTTTTTTCACTTAACCCTTTGAGCCACGAATTTACAATTTCTGATGTCATAATTTTTATTTCATAGAACCTGTCAATTCCAACAAAGTGATTTCAAAGTTTCGAATTATACCCCTAGATCTGTGGTCAGCCATTACAAGTGGTTTCGCCTTGAAATCACCATTCCTAGGGCAGGGAGAAAATAATGTAAAATAAAGTAAAGGTGGTTACACAGTGTAACCACCTCGCCTCAAAGGGTTAATGAATGCATGCCTTGTCTACTGGTAGATGCCATCTTTGGAAACTAATATCCATGGAATGTTGTCTTACAAAAAAGGTTATACCTCATGTATCCCTTGCTTCATATTGTTCCAAAAAATCCACTAGCTGGCAGAAGGTCCCTATGTGATATGTGGACATCCATCAAGCCAGATGCTGTTGCATGGAGACATAAGAAATTCATGAATCCTTGATGAGTTAACATGTCAAGCTAGCACACAGTGGGAGTTGGAGCATGACGTGTTAACTCATCATGTAAGCAGTGAATCGGTTAATAAAAACAGAAATTGCACGCAAGAATCATGGAATGGTCACACCTGGATCTGCCACTGTAACATGGAGACAAAAGGGAAACCAAGTCATCGTCATATTCCGAGTGCAGAAAAACCTCATCTGGAAAGTGTCAAGTTCAATAATAGTAATGGGATCAGGACATATAGACCATGGCCTTGGAAGACCCAGACCAAGAAGCCATTTTCTCCAAAGTAGTATAGAGTGCTCATGTGCCTGGTTTGGATGGCGATGTCTGATGCCTTCTTGGCATGTGAAGGTGCATGAAACTCAACAAGTCTCCACTCTAGCTTATCTTCATTCTGATTTCTGCTGATATGCTATTCTATTTAACAAGAATATTTTACTTATTCCTGCTCTGTTCACCTGAGATGCTTAGAAGCAGATATGGTGGAGGCATCAAGGAGAGCCTCAAGTGTTCTCTACCTGTCAAATTCCTTGTTAAAGTGGATCTCGGATACTTGGTTCATCCTTCTATAGAAATTGCATTTCCTCACTCAACAAATATGACTTAAAAACATGCAGTCATTGGCTCTCCTGCAACATGGAGGTTTGCATGCAACACAGGGATTTTATGAAAGGTCTCATCAATTGCATGATTGCTTATTTTGCCTGAAAGGATATCTAAATTACCACTACACAGGTGCCCTGAAAGACCTCAATTCTCTGGCTCATCATCAGCACCACAAAATTCCCAGTTTTGTCCAGCTGTATCATCCCTATCTGCTTTTATATTCCACATTCGGTCATCAGATACCTGAAACCATACTGTTAAAGTTAATAGAGACAATTTAGTCCTTGTGGATTTTGTGATCCATCCTGACAAAACAAATCAAATTTCCCTTCTATTGAATGTTTTACAATGTCAGGCTTTCTCATTCTCCTGGCTCCCTAAATGCATCCAACTGAGGAAAATGGATTGAGTGATTACTGATATTCAGTTGGCTGTAGTACCTTTGTACCGTGAGCTTGACAAAAAAACACCAGGATTGAAGTGATCAGAGCAAGTGAATACACTAGGTCAATCCTGGTGGGATCCAGATGCATTAATGTTTTGTTCTGATGTTTTGAGACTATTCATTCATTACCCTAAGTGTGGCTAGATCTCCCAACAATTCATGTGGTGCTAGTAGTTTCACTCATTATTTCTCGGTGTAGTATAAAGGAAGTGAGAGACATAATGAGCCATATCCATGGACAGTTTGTGTCATAAGGACAATGAAAATGAGTGTTCAGCTGCTCTGCTGTTCACCTTTCTCAAATACTATTTCCATGAATTTATTTATTGCTTCATGTACCTGCCATGTCTTAGGGCCTTGGTTTTTCTCTGGTTGAATTACCCAACTAGCTTGGATTTCAAATCTTGAGGCTTAGTTCCACTGCCCTTTCTGTACCCAATAGAAAACAATGCAACTTGGGTACACTTGGAAATTCTGAATGTTTCATCCATCAGGTACATCTAATCCATTGATTGAATGTTTTGAAAGAATCTTTTGATTTTTTGAATGGAGTAGAAAGAGGTTGGTGTAATTATGTGGCTGGAGGTGGAATGTGCAAAGCAGGAGAAGCGGCACGAGCTGGTTCTCTCAGGGAAGGAGGTATCTGCACGCATAGATGAACTTGAGGGTGCACTTGACCCACATGTGTACACACTGACCCAGGTTAATTTCCTTGAGGTCAGCCGTACAAGTCTCTGCATCCTCTCTGATTCCATTGCCCAATTGACCAATCTGGTCCAACTGGTCGTCCATACTAATCACCTTGTTGCTCTTCCATCCTCCCTTGGACATCTGACCAAACTTAAGCTCTTTGATGCCAGCAACAACCTTCTTCAATCTGTAAGTCCCTATATTTTTTCTTCTTTTGTTTCTTAGTGGAAGTCAGATGTATTGTTTCACTTTTTATGCATGAAGAAAGATGGATGAATGTACATTGTAAAAGTTCTTGGACAATATAAGGAGTTGCACTAAGAAATTTGATCCAATAGTGTCACTAAGTGTCTGCATTGTGAAAACCTGTTGATGCTAATGGTGCAAATGATGCTTATGCTGATATAAGTGGCTTATTCAGTTACATCTTCTGTGGTATGATACATTAATACAGCTTTGCTCAAAACCTTTTATTATTTAAGTCCACAGACCATTCATTATACTGTTAGCTAGTAATTCCTTCATTACTGGATAAAGTTAATAATAAAAAAATGGAAAAGATGACTAGATCCCATGTCATTTCCTGGAGAATTTCACCCTTAACTCATTTTTTTGGAAAATTTACTGTCATAGTTTACCATTTTGATGGCATTCAGAAAGTTTCCAGCTTGAGGTACTTCCAGTTGCAATACACTATACTTACTCATCTCATGGGAAGATTTTTGTGAATTTTTTTCAATGTGCTACCATAGAGTTTGGTTTAGGGATACTAGGATTGAGACCAATGCTGTGATGAATTTTCTAATCTTGAAGAAGTTGATCTTGCTGAAGATCTTTTGCAGGAAGGTGAGTAGGACTTCATTCTCTCTGCTGCTGAAAGATCTCGGGCAAGATTGACTCCTTCAAGGTTAGAAAATTCATCACAGCATTGGTCTCAATCCTAGTATCCCTAAACCAAACTCTATGGTAGCACATTGAAAAAAATTCACAAAAGTTGTCCATCATGGACATAAGATGAAATATTGCCAGTCACCATCAAATACATTTATCTTCCCATGAGAAGAGTAAGTATGGTGCATTGCAACTGGAAGTATCTTGGGTTGGAAACCTTCTGAACATCCCTCACACACATGCACAAAGGGCATTTAGAATATATATATATATGATAGTAATAATAATAATAATTATTATTATAGATCCCTGAAGAGATAGGAAATATGAAGAGTTTGCAAGCATTGAATCTGAATGGAAACAAGCTTGTGTCCCTTCCATCTCTGCTGGGCATGGGAAACTTATCCATACTGAATGTGAGTGGGAATACCCTGGAGGAATTCCCCCAAGTTCCATCTCATCTTACTGAGCTACACCTGGAAAAAAATTCCATCTCATCTATCCCTCCAAATTGCATCACAGACCTGACAGCCTTAAAGATTCTTGACCTTGCTGAGAATCACATCACTGCCCTGCCTGGAGAACTAGCAGACTGCAACAAACTCAAAGGTCAATTTCTGTACATTATAGAAGCAGAGAAACAAAGAACTTCATTGTCATTTCTTTGTTCAATTCATTTGTGACAGGTTAACTTTGTCTTGGTTCACTTACTTTCAACTGATATACAGGGTGGTCCACAAATTGTGCAACAATTTTATTTGATGATAATTGAAATAACACTATATTTACAGCAATGAAACTTTAACTAACTCAAGGAATAAAGTTTTGAATTTCATTTTTACCCTTCATTTAATATAAATATGGGTTTTTTTACTTGCCGAAAATTATTTGATTAGGATGACCACCATTCCTGTTAATGCACTCTCTGTAACGTATCAAAGCATTGTTCATTGTTTCTGTTTGTTTGCTAATCCCTCTGATGAACTGCAGAATGCTTCTTTTCAACTCTTCCGCATTTTGAGGTCTAGTTTGATAAACATTGCTCTTATAATGTCCCACCAAAAGAAATCTGGGGCAGTTAAGTCTGGTGATCATGCAGGCCAGGAAATTTCACAATTCCTCTAAATAAGCTTTGGGCCAAAATGTTGTGGCAGTAATTCCATTATGTCTTTTGCTATGTGACATGTTGCCTCATCTTGTTGGAACCATGTAGTGTCTGAATGTCTTCTACGAAGTTCAGGCAAAAAGTGAACTTAGGTCAACATTTTGGCACAAGGCTTCTTTCAAGGTATTGCAAAATTCCCTGCCCTGTACCATCACTGGATGAAACTGCCCCAAATTTCTTTTTGTGGAGGCAATATAAGAGACCAAACTAGACCACAAAATGCAGAAGAGTTGAAAAGAAGCATTCTGCAATTCATCAGAGGGATTAACCTACAAACACTAAAAGAAACAATGAACAATGCTTTGCTAAGTTACAAAGAGTTTAACAGGAATGGTGGTCATCTTAATCAAATAATTTTCCACAAGTAAAAAAGGCATAGTTGTATTAAATGAAAGGTAAAAATGAACTTCAAAACTCTATTCTTCAAGTTAGTTTAAGTTTCATTTTTGTAAATATAGTAGAATTGCAATAATTATCAAATAAAATTGTTGCATAGTTCATGGACCACCCTGTACTTAAATTTTTTAAAGCCTTGTTTTCTCCTGTCATGCTTCTTAATGATAGTGGTGTTGGAATAATGAATGGAAGAGAGGGCATTTGAGCTACCAATTTATATTCATGTTTCATCGCCAACCATTCTGATTCTTTCAGAGTTGAACTTGAAAGGGAACAAGATGAAAGATAAACGGCTAGGGAAACTGGTATCTGGTGGAGGATCCTCAAAGCAGATTCTTGATTATGTGAGATCCCACTGCCCCAGGGAAAAGGAGGAATCCACATCTGATTCTAAAAAGTCAGCCAAGGGCAAGAAGGGGAAACAGGAGAACAAACACTCTCAAAGTCACAACTCTGATTTGGATGCTGTAAGTACCCCTCACCTCTCCATCCCTAAAAAAGAATTAAAGCTATAGCATAATTGAAGGGCTGAAAGGAAATGTGGTCTGTCTGCAAAGAATTGTTGCTCCACATGGAAAGAATGAATGTTCCTGTGATTGTCCCATTGTGAAAAATTGTGAAAAAGTGGTATGGATAGATTAGGCATGTTTTTTTTCCACATACTTTCTTACAACTACCCTTTTAAATGAAAGGAAAAAGGTTCTATGCGCACCAAACCAGCTTTTTTGGGGGGGAAATTCTCTCCAAATTTCTTTTCATTTCAGCCCTTCATTTGTAAACTATTTCTTGACTTGATGTGTATTCAACTGATTAGATCATCCTCTTAACATGTAAATTTTGTATGCTATTACAAGCCAAAGCTAGGTATTTCTTTTACATGTTATGCTTTCCATCATGAAACTTACACCAGCCACCTGCTGTGAAACCTCATTTCAGCAGCTTTTATCTGCAATCTGTTTCTTTTAACCATTACCTGAAGTTCATGACAATAGCTCACCTGTAGTGGGAAAATAAAAGCTGAAAACTTCAATGAGTTTTGCATTCTTTGAAATTTTCTATTCACCAACCACAGCCTGCCAGGATTTTCCCAGAACTGCAAAAGCCCTAAAGGTGTGATCTTTTCTGCATAACCTATCACTTGAAGGCCCAGAGCTCAAGATGCTTGAACTCTTCTGCCTGTTTCTGTGTGGCCCCTTCCTGATATATGAAGGGTGCAGTGCATGGGATGTCTTGGTAAAACCATGATGGGGCCATGACATTTCATTTGATGTAGAACTGATCCAACACCCTCCAAATTTCTTGTCTAGACTGCACAAAGGATGGCATCATTGGCAATTTACCTTGACATCACAAAAATTTACCTCCAGACCTAGAGTGTGCCTAAAATTCCCCTCCTTGTTTATGAGGGGGAGGAAAAGCAAGAGAATATAACCCTGACAGTGACCCAAGCTGAACCTATAAAGAACCTGAGCTCTTATCACTGACTCCAACACGGCTCCTGCATTTATTGTACGAAGACTCAATGACCCGCAATAACTGATTGCTTATCCCATATTGCTATAGTACTTTATTTGACTTCCCCCAAGAAGCCACAGTTGCACTCCTTTTCAAGGTTGACAAAATGCATGTAAACCTCTTTGTCATATTCCCAATACTACTTGAGACTGGTGGAGAGAAGTGTCTGCTGGTAGGGTGCTTAGCATTCTGTCACTCCTGAAAAGAATTTAGGAGCTGGTCTTGTCATTGACAATAATATTGATATTGATGGTGATACAGGTGATGGATTCACTGAATCGGTTGGAGATCTTGCACTCGGCTGAGAAAGAGTCTCTGGTGATTGCCTTGACTCCTGAGGTCCTTGATGTCCGACCCCATATCATCTGCTGCATCATCCGCAATCTTGACTTCTCTGGCACGAAACTCAAGCAGTTTCTTGCTTTACAGGTAACACACCACAACAGCACAGTGTTTCACAACCATTTTACCATCTGGGTCCCTCTCAAAATAGAGTGGATCTGTGTGAACCCATGCATTATTGTGAAAATTTGTGAACTACTGAAGTAAGGCAAGTAATTATGGTGTGACCATATTTTTTAAAGTGAACATATTGTGAACCTAAATATTAATTGAATAGCAAGGGTCGTTATATATCCCGTTTCGGCCAAGATTATTATTTCCAAATACTCTTGATACACTTCTACAGTATTCTTCCAGTATTATCAACAGATTAAAATGGTGTTGTAGCAAAAAAGCAGGCAACATCATTGTATAGAGAAGCAGACCGCATGCAGAGAAAACTTTGCTATGGGGGATTTGCACTTGACTTGACAAAGGGACACTTTGGTTATAAAAATGGCCTTTTAAAATGATAACCAGAAATTTGAATCTTGAACCTTGGGAAAAGATGAAGAAAGGGTGGTTTTGATGCTATAGACAAGGCTACATGAGACATTGGGTGACCGACGTAATGTGGCTACGATTGCTACACATGATGTGGAGAAGATCCCATCCGAGGGTCCGCTGAGATATGAAGCACGGCCGCCATCTGCCATTGCAATTGAGCCTCTGAATCGACCTGGGCCTGGACCTGTCCCTGCTCGGGAACTCTTTCTTCAACTGCAGCGTGAGGCCGATGCCCTTCGCAAGGAGAAGAAGCGCAACACATATTCAGGGATCCATCGGTGAGACCTTTTCTTCTGTCTGTGGCAACAGGGATGGTGCCACAACTTTAGATACTTTTTCGAATGTTCCCTTGGTGGCACAATAAAATATTATATTTCATATTTCCAGCCACCCCAAACGTTGCCAGTCAACTTTCATTGTGTCAATCATCATCTCTGAAATGGAAGAATTGTACTTTACTTCTGGAAGTCTCTTGAAGAAGGAGCTTTTGGAATGCCCCTTGTGTGTTGTTACAAAGTAAAATTATTTTATTCCTGAAAAATTAAATTTTGGACAAAAGTTGAGAATTTTTTTTTAGATACGTTTTTGCGTTGAGCTAGGTGGGCTTTGGAGTTAGTTGGTCTATTGAGAAGTTAGAATCACTTAAAAGTGAACTTTCAGTTTGTTTTTGGGAATTAAAGGAGAATGTGGAATGCGTAGGTACTTGCACCTGCTGGAGGGGAAGCCACTGTGGCCCTGCTTGGTCGACTGTCATGACCGCGTCCTCTCTTTCCATCCCATCACCAACAGCCATCTCACCAAGGTCAGTTCCGGGGTTGTAGACCTGACACGTGTTTCTCGAGGTGATAATCGAAGGTGTTGCATTTCACGTTGCCAGATATCCGAGGAAACGACGAACGTGCTTGTGGAAGTGACGAGCTCCTCGTCCCAACCGATTTGCCGCAAGATTGCTGACACTCTAATTCTCGAATCCCTCCTTATGGGTTTGGGTAAGGTCGAGGATCAAGGGTCGAAGCAGGTCCTCGTCGTCGAACAGGTCCGGGTCCTGAATCCCGATGGGAACCTCAAGTTTGTCTATCCCTCTAAGGTCGACTGCTTGTATGAACATCCCGATGTTCGTGTTCTCAGGAAATACTGATGCCTCCAGATAATTATGTTCCATTCCCCTGTAATTGATCCTAATATTGCATTGGGGTTAATAAACATGGACGTGTTGGTTTTGACGAGCACAGCGTATTTCCTGCAAGGTTACTGAAATCGTTGGATCGGACGCGATTTCGGCGTCGTTTGGACTCCTCACCCTTTCGAGGCGCGGTCTCTCGTATCAATTCTGAGCTTTCATGGCGAGGTCCTCTGAAAATTTTGCAAAAAAACTTCCGGCTTCGTAGCGCGGTTTTACGATCTGAACGATCCCCAAGGCTTCAAAATAGCGATATTCATGCAAAAACTAAGCGTTTCCAGCGGAAATCTATGAATTTCTCGAGCGGTCGACCGGGGTCGATCATACTCGAGAGAGTGTCGGTATCCAGTCCACGCGACAATATCGACTCGACGCCGATGAGTTGTTTGACACATTATCGACATCGTCTCGATGTTGAAAATGAGAATATTGCGACGACACAATGGTCTCGATCCGGTCGACGTCACACGAATGTTGGGCGAGACGCATGAGAGTTATTGGAAGAAAGAAGATTCCCTGACCCCGAAGCGAAATGACTCGGCACGGTGGATGTAGAAACTTCCTCGCTCATCCAACGTCCCATCGACATTGCTGTATAAACAGCGTAGGTTCCATGCTTTCGGGTGACATTGGTGAGTGCTGCGAACTGCTCTCTTCGATCAGTTTCGCAGACCGGATCATCGGTTACCCAGTGCCGGTACGTCTCCAGAAACCATCGTTGGAACGTATCGGTATCTTTCGCGTTTCTTTCTCTGGGTTTCCGTTCGAGATTGGAAGAAGCTCGAGTCCTTCTTCTCGATGTGCTTCGTATCCTTCGACAAGCACCCGGGTCTGAACCGGATTTAAGGTTTTTCGGTCCGTCGGATCTTCGAATTTCTGATCCATCGGGCATGCTTTCTTCGTCCACCTTTTCCCTTCGAGGAATGACGAACTTGCCATCGTATGGAACGAGTACTTAATCTTCGTTCCATCGCGTCGTTGTAGGTCGTTGGAACTTCGGATTCGTTTCGAGGCCTGGCGTCACAATATCGTACTTGACATTAATGCACGTGCTTGCATTTCCCTCGACATTTCCAGTGATCGATCGATCGAAGAGGTGTCGATGACGTCGTTCCCGAATTCTGGGTCTACGACGTATCTCTTTGTATGCAGTCGAACGAGAGCCGGGTCCGGTCCGTTAGTCGCTCCTAGATTTCTCTGGGTTCCTTCCTTCAATATCTATCCGTATTCGCCTAACGCCATCAACATGACGCTATTTACCTTTCCGTTACTCCCGCGTCCGTGAAGACGTTTTCTGTCGCGATACCATGTCGTCGCGAGCGGAGGATCTTCGCGACCAACTTTCTGGTTTCGTCGTCGGGATAGACTTCTTCCAAAAATATTCGCAAATCCTCGATGGCCAAAGGGTTTGATCTGGTACGAAATTGTTTTTTGAATGCTCATGATAGCAGAAATTTCGAACTCATTCTTTAGAAACCCTTCATCGTCAAGGTATCCATTTTCGAATCCTATATATTTTGAATTAAAATCGAACTCAATATTTTTTTTTCCTCCAAATGTTCTATCCGTTCTCTAAGTATCCAGCTGCTCTTGAACTTGCGGTTTTAGATGTTTTATTAGTGAGCGATATATCTGATGAATAATTCTTTTTCTTTCGAATTTTCTGATTGTGTCTCGCAATATTTCTTATCGTAAACTCATAAGAAAGCTTCAACTAATTTGTTGATCCATAATACGACGGTATCTTCCGCTTTCTTGTGGTTCATCCATCTACCGTGAAAGCAGTGGAATCCAAAGCACGACAGACGTGACTCGCTGTGATCTTGGTCTCTTGGTCCCGAGATCAACGTCCTCCTTCGCTTCATACGGCCATAGTCTCTTATTTCGGAAAGCCAGATTTCGGCGAAGTCACACGAGCCGTGTGACCATTGTAAAGGACTGGGGCGGAAGGGAGGTTCTATCCCTTCCAAAATCACCGTACAGGCTGATAGGAGCAGAAAGCGGGAAGCTTCCCTTCCAAAAAAAGTTTCACCTCTTTTTTTACTTCTCATTTACCCCTGTTCTACCGTATTTTCCATGCTTTTTAAATTTTCTTTACCAGTTTTACTGCTGTTCACCTCACTTAAAAAATACCTATTCACCTCTCTTTATATTGCAATAATAATTGCAATAATAAGCAATGTTCGTGTGGTATTAGAACTATACCTTTCCAAAAAAAAAAACAACCCTGAGCGGTGGGGTATTCCTGGCTGGGAAAAAGGAAATCGCCCGGAATCCTGAGTCCCATTCGTGACAGTGCTACATATTACTCTCCTGATTGAATTCGTGCCCTAACAAGAAGGAGAATGAGATAGGGGTCAAAGGGAATGTGTGAGATGGGATCCAAGAAGGGCCAGACTGCCTTGGGGCTAAGGATCCGTGAGGGAGAATGCCGAATCCTTTCCTGGCCTGCACCGCTGTTCCTATTTTTGTTGTTGTTGGAAGGTATACTCAATCGTACAGGGTGGGCCACTTAAAAGTAGCCCGCCCTGTCGCAGTATTATAGGAGGCGGGCTACTTTTAAGTGGCCCACCCTGTATAATACATAGAACAAATTTTATGAAAGGAAAGAACACCGTATCTCACTTCAGAGTCTAGAGCTATCCTCCAGAGATATTTTGCCATGTACCTGATGCAACGGGGCTGGGGGATGGAGTGATGCCATCCTCTGTCAGATTAAAAATATCTAGTCTGCCAAATATCCAAAGTTCATCTCCTAGATCGTTTAACCCTTGATTTTTTTTCCAGTCCACTCGTGACGAAAAGACGCTACGATCGGCAAGCCGACCGATAGGCCTAGATGTAATACGACGGGGTCCGACGCAGCAAGTAACATGGGAACTTCCCACCGAGGTCTGAGGTCCCGCGAGAAGTTCTCAAGAGAGAAGCAGCCAGGTGTTCTCGTGCTCTTTGGGTAACCCTTTCCCTGGGAGGGATATCCGAGCGTTTCGAGAACGTCGACATTGAACGAAAACGATCACGTCGACGCCAGCGAAAGGGCATCATCGATACCCATCGCGCACGCACTTTCCAGAACCCCTGCTCGATGCTATGCACATTTCCATAATAAATGCCAACAGCGGTTGGAAGCTTGCGAACGGTCACCCGAGAGAAGTTGGGAAGTCTCAACGCGTAAAATGTTGCCTTCTGTCGGTTCTGCAATCGGTCGACCTGCTTGCGGTGCGCTCACGACACTGCTTCTCCCGTTCTTGAACCCATTCGTACCCCATCTACGTTTCATGCATCTCTCCCCATATTGAGCCAACACTTTTCTATGGGAAATCCATAGTGGGTTACACAGCTTCTGAGTGAAGAAATCTAATGGCTGAATGCCGCTCCAGTTTGGTGCAGACGATAGAGGGTGCTGACATATTTATCATGCAGAGAGACGCCTATATGGTGCCACCAAAGTTGTTGTTCCTTGGTCTTCGTGAAGATTTGCGAGTGACAACTATTGGATTTCTTCTCCAGTACTTCCGTTTCACTTAGAACACGAAATACTTTCATTTATTGACTTGCCCTCGTACGTCAAGAGGTACTGTTCTTTTCATTTGTTCTCTTCCGGGACGCTTCCACGATGTGCGAATGCTAATGCCAAAAGCATTTCAATGCATGCCTGAACTGCGAAAACAAAGAGACATCATTGACTATTTATTTGTTATGTTTTTTTCATGTTCCCTCGACATCTCGTGCACATTTCTTTATACTTCACTGCCTTGCCTCAAGATGAATAAAGCATTTTCAATTTCAAAGCATGCCAACTGGTATAGGCAGCATCGAACATGTGGACCATTAGTCAAAATATTCTCGTTCAACGAATCAATGATTTCATTTATTTATTTTTTAAATCTTGTCGGAGCCATACAGTGTCCTGTTTCGCACTGCAATTAGTAGATCGTTCCAACTCAAGCGTGCCGATGGTCTGTGCTGGACCGTCTCAGAATTCCTTGAAATTTGTGACCGAATTTGAAAAGCATTATGTTGAGAAAGGGAAGAACCCAAATAGCAGGTAGGGTAAAAGACCCAGTGATGGGCCACAGCACATAAAAATTCCAACAGCTAAGCTTAGCACGCCTACCCCTGTTATGACAGGCTAGCAGCGTTGAAGTACATACATACTTCAGAGGTTTTCATGGAACAAATGCTTAGTTTTTGGAATTTTCCTGCGACGTGGCCCATCTCTGAGTACCCGCCCTTAACAGGCCCATCACTGGGTGTTATACCCTATCTACGCCAAACGGCTGCCAAGATAGGAAGGTTTGGAATTGACACGGAGGCGAAAATAGAAAACAATGAGATGCTTTATTTTGATCACCCCATACGATGCACAGTACAACTGCATCGGAATACGTGTATCACAGAGGCGTATGACGTAGGTGGAAGCCCAGTTGAGCATTGCTTGCATTGTAATAGTGTTTGGAAATTTTATAATAACGCTTGTAAACACCCACCGAAAATTTGCTTGAATCCCGTTTCCGGAATGACGTAAATTTTAGGCTGAATAATTCAGCCAAAGAGCCTAACTGACATTCCCTGTGATTTTACTGGGGGATCTGGTTCAAAATGTGATGAAAGTTTCGACGGATGAGAATTACAGAAAATCTCTCTATTCTATCTTGGAAATTTGGTATTACGAAATGGTCTTCTTGGGAAATCAAACATGGAAGATTTCCGGTATTTTAAAAATTATTTTACGGTAAGAGTTGGCCTAACTCTACCAAATGATGCGAGATGGCGTCTAACTGTCGATTCCGCGATTCTCACCCTAATACCGCTGAAATAAGTCCCTTGTTATTTCTTTCATTCGCTACTCGATTTTCGCGTACAACCTAAAGGTAGGTTTTTGAATTCCTGGATGGACCCGTTTAGGAAGGAAACTCGGCAGAAGGAGTCTCCGGGTTCTTCTGGCCTGGGGGTTGGAGGCGAAATGCCGAAATATTCGTCACTTCATTCCGTCGCTTTCTTGATCATCTCTTAGTAACACGGAGAGCATTCAAAACTGTCCGCAGGGTGCGTTTGATCCCTGCATATCTGAAAGTAATGATTCACCTAAAGGTGATTCGTTTCTTTTACGGAGGAGGGGGATACTCCACGTGTTTCCTTTTTGCTGCATAAAGCTCGGTGGTGCGGAATAATCGAGAAGAAAGGAATTATCCCAGTATCTTCATTAAACCCCTTCCGTGAAATCCCCGACTATCTTGGCTTCTCGTCCTTCAGGATGTCTCCCGTAGATTTTCATTTAAAGCTACCTGTCAATCTTTTCAGAGATTTTTTTTGTAAATCTCTTGATATTGTTTGGAAAGCTCCGTTGAATTTCTTCCTTTCACATACACTTTCTGTTTCAGTATCGAGGTGTTCCTGTCAACGTCCGGAGTTTACCGCTAAAAATGGTTCTGTGAAGCAAGGAAAAAGCCTTCCTTCGTTTTACCCTTGTCTGAATGCATTCGTATTTAGTTTCTCATGATTTTTACAGGGAATCAGGATGTCAAACGTTTAACTGTAAAATTACAAAGGGATTTTAAAGAGTGTGCACGCACCATTCGATTCAAATACACTGGTTCTTCTAAGAATCTTCTCTTGGATGAATGAGTGAAAGAAAAGGGAATCACTGAGGTTGTCCATGATACGATTTTTATTATTATGGATGACCAACACTATCGAAGTCTAGAGATCACGACGAGCAATGCAAGCGATCATCGCGATGCCGGAATGCGAGATGACATGCCTATTGGGCAACTTTAAATTATCGACTTTCTTTTAATATTTTTCGTGATGGAAGGACAAAAATATCACATAAGGATGTGCTTGTGCCCGGGCTTCGATCCGAAAAGACTCACGAGTCGGGAAGCACGAGTTTACTGAAGAATGTGCCTCACGAGAGACACAACATGTCCAAAGACGGTGTCGGGATCTTCGTGGGTCTTGGTCTGATTCTCCATCTCGTTTCGGTACATGACCCTGTTAAACCCATCTTGAGTGACATTGAGAATGGTTCCAACTGTCAATTCATCTTTGACATTGTGTGCAGGCAGAGTTGCCGTCTCATTTTCGTGATGCACCTTTGCGGTGGTGGTCTCCCGAACGGACGGAACTAATAAGAAAGGTAACCATTGATTGCCGGATTGTGGTCCGTGCTCTTTCTGGTTTGAAGGCTCATCGACAATCTGTCTCGTCGTTGTAGCCGTAGTCGTTTCAAGAGGAATGCCAGGATTCGACTGTGGTGAGGACTGGAACTGTGTTGTTGGTCTTGAGTTTTGAAGAGGGTAGTAGCCGGACGATAAATCTGAAGGACTTGCGGCGGGGTGGAATCTCACACCAGGTTCACCCGCATGCAAATTAGGCTGATTCAGAGGAACGAATGCTTGGGGCCCAGGAGGATTATTTAAGTTCTGAGATGCAATCGGATTTGCGACAGATGGAATAAATCCTAGGAATGGCTGGCGGACTGGAGGTGATGGTCGGGGGGATTCTGGCTCGTGACCGAAACTAACTCCATGGATATTTCCAGATTTCAAATCCGTTGCCGTTGTCGTATTCTCTCCGTTCATTACCACGAGATCTTCCATGTGAGACACAGGATATAGCATTACCTGTGGTTGCAACCGAGGATCCACAGCTCCATGACTTGCGAAATTATTTCTACTGCCAGGCGTCGTCGAGGGAGGCTCGGTGGAAATTTCAGACAAATCCTTGGCGTTAGATGAATCACCCATAGAGGTTGTGATGGTTTTTGTCTCCAAGGCGTGTTGGAAAAGGTCCGGATTAGGTCCTCTTAAAGGGATACCGGCAGGAGGAGATGGAAGAAGCTCGGGTTGCAATGGAAGAATCCCAGATGCATCAAAAGGTGGGTTATCAGGGGTAAAATAAGCAATTTCAGAAGCTACCCCAGAATCGGGAATTGTTGAAAGAACACCAGCGCTTGAACCAAAGCTAGGGAGTCCAATATCTCCAGCAGGGTCGTCAGGTTCACCAGGAGCTGTTAGATGTGCGTCATCACTTGGATTACTAAAACGCTCACTGCCAAAAAACTCTGATGTATCACGAACGTGTTTTCCATTGGATATAGAATTCTCCGTCGTTGTGCTAGATGGAGTATCATCTTTCTCTTCACCAGCATGCCTGGTGGTCTTGGAGTGAGTTTTAGGTGATACTGTAGTGGTCTTCACATCATCATCATCGTCATCATCATCATGTTCATCGGTGTCTCGAACGTGCTTCCCTGGTTCGGGTTCAGATGTTTTCGGTGTGGTTTGAGTATGTTCTTCCTTCTCTTCGCCAGCTTCTCTGGTGGTCTTGGAGTGAGTTTTAGGTGATACTGTAGTGGTCTTCACATCATCATCGTCATCATCATCATGTTCATCTGTGTCCCGAACGTGTTTCCCTGGTTCGGGTTCAGATGTTTTCGGTGTGGTTTGAGTATGTTCTTCCTTCTCTTCGCCAGCTTCTCTGGTGGTCTTGGAGTGAGTTGTTGGAGATACTGTAGTCGTCTTCACTTCCCCTTCATCTTCATGTTCGGCCGTATCTCTTGTGTGTATTTGTACTTTTTCATCTCCTCCCGTTGTTGGTTGACGTTGATTTTGTTCTTGGAAATGTTCCGATGTATCGCCGACATCTTCGTCTTCAGTGATGTAGGTTTCCTCTTTTGTATTCTGAGTTTCGTCTGCATCACTTTCCTCATCCTGATCACTGTCATTCTCGTCACTTTCCTTGTTTCCCTCATGATCTTGATTATCATCACCATCATCATTCTCATTTTCTTCCATTTCATCATTGTCTTCATTATTATCGTCAGTTTCTGTTATGTCGGTAGTGCTTCCGACGTTCTGGACATCCTGGAATCGATTTTCAGCAGTTGTGTCCGTGGTTTTCAGGTTGTCTTGCTCTGAAGTATCCCTTGTGTGTTTCCCTTGATTATCTTCCGTTGTTGGCGGAATAGTTGTAGTCAATTGTCCTTGTTCTTCCTTCTCTTTTTGGATTTCCCCGGCACTGGATTGCACCCAAACTGGTCCTGCAAGTGTTTGACCCTTCATCTCTACTTTTGTTAGATTATCATCAACACCTGAGACAGTTTTCATGTTACTGGGGACCTCGGTCGTGGTGCTGTTTGTCCTTGGCCCTAGTCCATTTTCCTGATGTATGATTGTGACCGGTGGCTGATACTCTTCGAGAATCATTCCTGGTCCTTTATGATTGGTCTCTGGTTCAGATCGCCCCTCTCCGGACGTTTCCTCCACTATGATGGTGAGTGAATCTGGGCTATCTGGTAATGAAGTCGCCTCTTCTACCTCAGAATCCGACTGTTTATCGGTATATGGTAAATCTGGGAACGGATCGTCACCTGCGAACAAGTTGTTGAAAAAGTTGACAATGCTCTCGTGACGCGTGTCAATGATTTCGGTCACAATCTCCCATCTGGTTACCACTCTTTCCCCGGACTCATCATCATCGCTTTGTTCCACCATGTGGGGCTGTGCCGGAGCATTATCTTCAGGATGTGTCAGAGCGGGGGTAAGGGAAGGCGAAGATGACGATTTTGTCTTTTCAGTCGAAATATTCTTGTCTTTCTCATCATCATCTTCATTTACGTCTTCAACTGTTCCTACTGCCACAAGCTCTAACTCAGGTGCGACAATATCATCAGTCTTGTTAGGCATTACCTCAACTGTGACCATCTGGTCGATTTGCTCGATGATGGTATCATTACCGTCCTGTTCTACCTTTGTTACTGTGGGGTACTTCATGACCACTGACGTAATTCCGTCTTTGGATTTGATTGAGGTTACTTCAGTGTATGCTTCAGTCGTTGTGGATTGCTCTCGTTTCACGGCGGTTGATTTCACTTCAGTCGTTGTCTCGGGACTGATGGTGGTTTTATCTTCCTTTTGGTTAGTTTCCATCGTAGAGATTCCAATAGGTCCCTGATTAGCTCCAATCAAAGGTGGACGCGGGAGTGGGGACGACTTGCCTGGAGCAAACGTCGCCATCGTCTGTGAATCTGCAAATCACATAGGCCATCCATTCAGTCACGATACTGCGTAGGATGAGCACTTATCATTCACTTTTTAGTCTTTCAACTTTTCAGAAGCAGTCTCTCAAGGCAATAAACATTTAATTTGAAAGGCCGCCTGAAAGAGGCAGTTGCGGAGGAACAGTAATTCTTACTTTCAAGATACTTTCAATGACAGGTATTCGAATAACATGCTTCTTCACATCCATGTATTACTTGTCAACCATTTTCTCATTTTTGAAGCCTCTAGAATTGCGAGAAGTCGTACCTGTTGAAATTGTATCAGGAGGTTTTGATCATCACAAATACTTGATACCGCTCAAAAAAAAAACTTAATACGTTAATAAAATCCGCAAACGTGACTACTCTATTATTCACCCTGTCACCGTTAATCCCGCGGCTTTTTGAAGGGAATGAAATTCGCTCTTCCAAATGGCATACTGAATCCTCTTTTCATTGTTGCACAAACCAATACACAAATCTGTTGTGCACGCTCATGGTGAATACGGGTGTCCGAAGCACTTCTACAGCCGTGCAACTCTCATGGGATTGGGAATGGAGTTCCGGATGAAGAGTGCATTGTCGTCGCAATTGCAAAAGAAGATATTGACTCTCCGGAATCGTTCGAGGTTCCAGACTTCGCTCGGTTGAGAAGCCGGTTTAGGATGCTGATTACCTTCGCTCTTATTGTAAATGACAGAATAGTGCAATACTAGTTGCACCAAAGGAAAAATAATAATGAAAGCTCATCGATGTTAAATGCAGTGCCATGCATCAGCCATGAAAAAAACAGTGACAGGGTACAGTCGGCGTACTTTTCAGAGCATTTCCAGTGATATTCTACAATTTAATATTAGCTGTGAACTTTATTCATCTTTATATATATTATTTGCCTATTTTTATTTCGATCCATCTTTGAATCACTAAATGCGAAGAGAATAGTAGAGGACTATATACTGACTGAGAGGCGGGCAGTGGGTGTAGGTGGGGCAGCAGCGACCAGACTGGTATTTGGGAGTGCAGTCATTTCTCCAGAAGCACTCGATAAGGTTGCACTTAACATCTCCACCTTGGCATGAGCAGACCTCACAAGGTTTGTCCGGGTTCTCGATCTTTGCCCCATTCCCGTACACCCGTCCGTTCACCTCACAATCTATCGGAATGGGAAGGGAGAGATCCGGCGTCACCTCAGCAAGAACACACTTCCAAATGAAGGAAACCGCATGACAGGAGTTCCCGCGCGATGCACGATTCACATCCAGATCCATGTCATAATCTTTGAATATTTGAGGATGTTTCCCTTCATCATTTTAAGAGTGTAAAACTTACAGTTGCATCATTTCGAATAGACAGTACAGTGAGCAATCTTCAGAAGTGGTTTTTTTTTTATTTGACGGTGATTTTGCAGCTTAAATACAGAGGAACGTTTATTTGATACCTTAAATGATATTCTCGTGCGACATCGAGAAGAAATTATGAGAATCCATGAAGGCATGTGGAGATAGCCATACTCCCATTGAATCTACATAATGGGCCACTGTCAATGAAAATTTGCTCTCACTGTCACAAAATGGTTGGAAAGGCATGCATTTCTAGTGGGAGAAACTTCCTCGAGTCCAAATCGGCCGATTGTTCTCCCGATCGGCAACGTAGCTAGATTTGGATGTGATAAGAAATGTCAAGAGAGGCAGAGATGACTAACGCATGCGGTAAGGCTTGGGTTCTCCCTAGTTTTTCTGAGAAGTCCTAAAGGTCAATCAGATTCTTTGTGTTCTGGGAAGCCTTACATGCTAAGATATAGGGGCAGGCAGACGTGAGAGTCGAGTTCAAGGATATTGTAGATTCTCAGATACCTGTTCACACTAACAGCTAGAAGTGTGGAAGTTTTTTACATGACAAATCATTTTATACTTAAGTCGAAAGTACGGCCAAAGTACATGACATGAATGGGGGTTGGGAGCATGTGAGGAAGGCTCACGTTGCCGTACCTCTACGACACCTTATGTCATGGCTCCCATGTTAGCAAAAGGTTCCCATATATTCGACTCAATCTCTCTTTACTCATCTTTGACGTGGAATTTGGAATGAGAAATGTTTATCAGGGGTTTACAAGTGATAACTTAGCAGCGATACTGAGAAAGAAGAAACGATCTTGGCACATCCAAGGAGGGGGAAGGGGAGGGAGGGAGAGGGCGGGGGAGGGGAAGGGTGGGAGGAGGAGTCGATTCGTCTATCGAGCAATATGCTGAGTGACTTTTAAGTCTGATAACCACATTATTTTTCCACTTTCAAATTGTAGAGTTGGTAATTAATTACATGTTAGAGGTTGTACCAATCAATTCAATAACATGCTAAAGTTGAAGTATTTAAAGCCTGAGGTCATTTCTTTGTTTCATTGACAAATTTTAAATCGCGTTATCTCAACCCTCGTTTGCCGTAGATTTCGTCCGTACGCTTTTCTCACCATAACCCAACTGAATGCCGAAAATGGAACTGTGACGGTCCGGCGCAGACCATTGGCACTCATGATGAGAGGGAATGATACATCTGTTAAATTATGTAATGGGCATAGTATGAGTCAGGCAAGGTTTCTTGTAAAATTCTAATAGGAAACTATGGGAATTTTTTATTATCATCCTATTACTCAAATCCCCTAAGAAGAAATTGGAAACTCGTGTTCAATCGGCATGAACAAAACCTATTTTCAATCGGAGCAAAGGACGTATTGCTTTACCTGAATCGATGGAAATGATTTGGCCTGCATGCCAGACTCGAAAACTCAGGTTTATAGTTGCCAATGGTGAAACTTTCAGAGTGAAGATCTGATCATGCATACAAGAAGGAAAAATAAACTCCCAAGTGGCAAAGAGTTCTTGGGATTCTAGGGGGTTTGCTTGGCGATCCGAAACACTTTATACGTTGACGAAGAGACAGACTTTAACATGCATTACGATACTCAATAAGTTTCGGCATCAAATTCTTAATTTTTAGTTAGCAACTGTTATTCATTACGTATTTGTTCTCAAAATGCTCTCTCCCTGCACCCATGTAACATTGCATCCTCTTCGGCGGCTTATTGAAATACCCACGATACTCGAAACTCGGCCCACACAGCTGTGACTTTGACACCACAGGCCAACTCCTCAATTCCCGAACAGCCTTGATTTAAAAACGGAAAATGATCATACAGTGAATTTGTCTAGCAACCATCCGGTAAGTATACCGGAAGGCAAAAAGACATTTTTTGCCTTCCAACATATGGCTTGCTGGAGAAAAAGAACATTTTGCGCAATTAGGACTTCTGTGGTTTCAGTTTCACCGCCTAAGCGTATGCTTCTGTCTGAGCGCCGTGGATTCTTTAATAAGTCTCTATGAGGATGCGGTGATGTGCGGGTGTTGGGAGAGAGTGTCTCGAAGGAATGCGTAGACGGGAAATTGACAGCATTTGCTTATATGAAAATAAGTGCTTGTTTTGCCCAAACTAATGAGTTCACGTCGTGATATGAGAATTTGGAAACCGCCTCGAAAGGGGAGCATCTATTAACTGGGTTTCGACGAGAAGGGAATGAAGGAGAGGAAGTGAGTATCAATCGCTGCACTGGTACTTGGGGCAACATCGGCAGCATCGGCCGGGTCGAGGGAAACCCTAGTAGCTGGGCTTACGCGCCCAGCTACTATGCCCAGCCCATGCAATTCGGTACGAGCGAACTAAGGGGAATGGCCTGTGGAATCTACAAGAAGGGAAAAAGAGGGAAAAGAGGAAAGAGGAAAGAGAGGAGAGGGAGCGTAGGACTCACTGCATTGGTACTCAGGACAGCATCGATCGGGTCGGAAGAGGGCCTTGCATCCGGGTTTGTAAGGGCATGTAATAAGAGTACAAGCGAAGCCTGGGGGACGGCAGTGGCATTCCTCGCACTGACTCGATCCTGGTACCTCTTCCCCGTCTCCATACTCCACTCCCGCGATCACACACACTGTCGGTTATTGGGGTCAAGCGAGGTCAAGCACCATCTCGTGCATCAAATAAAAAGGTCCTCTCCAGCTCCGCAGAAAGAATGAAAGCGTTGTCACGAGGAAAACCGTCTCCTCATAAGCCCGATTCGTTCACAACTACCAGTGACAAAGTGGTCTATTATACTATTCGATGAGAATTCTCATTTTAAGGTTGCATGACTCTCCAATAAAATATTTCTGCTCTTGCCAGAGCTGATGTAATTCCTTCTTTCCCTCGATTACTTGATATCCTATCCGCGATGGCGGAAAATAGCCTATCGTTGGAAAATTAAATGAATATAGTTTTCCGACGGTAGGTTCTCTGCCATCGATGCAAAACGGGATGACGGCATTCCAGGCGAAAACAAACGACAATATCTGCTCGAAAATGCCCTGAAAGCGAGGAAGCTCTCTTTCGAAAGGAATTATAAAATGTGCTTTAAACTTTTCAATCGTGAGATGGAATGAGAAGGGGGTGTTATTTGGCATCAGGAGAATGCAACCTGGTTAACTTTCTCGTTCGTTCAACTCTTCTAGATGCCCTAAGTCGACGACAGACGGCGTTCCACGATGTGATTCGGTGACATTCGCAACGTTTCTCCGGGCCACGACGCAGGAAGAAGCCTTGGTTAATGGGGGTGAAGCGGGTGGAGGGCGTAAGCGATGCCGCGGAATGAGGAGGAGGTTTACCTTGTTTTTTCGCCTCGGAAGTGCCGTTCACACTTCCATCTCCTTCCGGTCTCGGCGAGATGCCCAATAGCACGGGGTTTATCGGGTCTATCAAAGCACATGACGGACTCGATTAGGGACAGAGATATCGTCACTCGGGGTAACGAGAGATGATAGAATTTCCCTCCGGCTTACTTGAAAGTGCAGTTTGGAGGAAAATGAATAGAGTGAACGCCGTCCAAAGCACGGCGAAATTGCGCGTCCGCATCGCGAACCTACTGGAAGAAAAGAAAGAAAAGCATATCAACGATGGGTCCGAGAAGCGTAAGAAAACTGTTTTTATCATCACTTTCCATTTGGAGTATGGTTCTATTTGAAAGTAGGGTCATGGTGAGCTAAATGGTCTCGTCTTCTTGGTTCTTTGTGTGAAGTGTTTTCTTCCCCTCCTCCCCCTCCCCTTTTTAAAAAAATTATTTCTGCTTCCTTGCCCCTTCACCAGACTGAACAACTATCGTACTACGGAGCGTCCGACGTTCGAATTAACTCCAATGACTTCCATTTGAAAATATTCAAGATTTTCGGATCTCGTTCGTGCACAAAAAAGCTCAAACTACACTGCTTTTCTACGGAAATTTGTTAGTGGGACGTTTGCGCGATGGCAAATCTAAGCGTTTAGCTTGAGTGAACTCGTCTGCCTCGGAAGGATGAGCTGCTCCTAGTCAACCAGGCTGCATCGTGTCTTCACTTGGATGTTCAAGGCTCATCGTGTGGGTTTCAGGCAATTCTGCCCCTACTAGCAAACGGGAGTCGAAGTCGAGCGCTTCTCCTATTCCTTCACTTTATAATCTTCATAATCCATTAGTGATTCAATCCATAAAAGGATGCCCCAAGACTCCTTAAGAACGTTTCCTCAGCTGTCTTGAAGGTTCAAGCTCTCATTCCCCAGAATGCCAAGGGCTCACGCAGCTGGCTTATGCACTTTCTCTGCATTAATGGCAATGTCTCTTTCTATCAGTTCTACTCATATCAGCAACTGAGTGTTGTTGATCCCCTGATTGGAGCTCCTCTGTCCCTCTCAAATTTTCTGAGATTCACAATGCCAAAGAACTTGAACACGATCCATATGGCGACCGTTTTGTTTTGCGGTGAAGCTTTCGCTTTAGCTGTCACAGCCACTCTTGCTCTGGACATTGATATCGTGATGCGTGTCTCTAAGCGCAGATTAATGTGGTGTTGGAACCTCTGCATGTCTGAATGTGTGTGCCTCCACGGAGGTCTTTCACTTGGGCACCCTCTCCCTTCCTAGAACTCGTCTATCACGTTCTTCTTTCCTTTCTCTTCCCCTGAGGATCAACAACCTTCGGTTGATGTGAATCTCTTTACACTGTCATTCTTCCACTATCATTATATCCTCAATAAATAAATAAATAATGAAGCACCACGGCATCTGCCGGAAAAGAAAGACTGAAGAGGGCTGAACATCACTCTTTCTGGAGAGCACGACAAAAAATGTTAGCAATGCCCGAGACGGCCGTTGGCTGGGAAGATACCTGAGGATACCTGAGGCTTTTGGTCGTGGTCCTTGGACGAAGCCGGTTGTGCCGATGATGATGGGAACGATGTTCGTCTTCATTCCATGCAATCACTCGATTTCAACTTTGGGTTCAGAGTATTTGTCCAATTTCTCCCTGGTCTTCACTTGAAGGTTGGATTCAGCTGGTATACTCACGTCGACAAGCAGGGCGGTGTTCTCGTTATAGATCGTGAGGTCTGGCCTATTCCAGACGATGGTGCGATCTCTCATCATCGGCATGTCTCAGAGCACTTTCGTGCAAAATGCATTCCCTGCTGATCGTAATTGGTGCTCGTACCACTTCCCTGGGACATCCATACCAACATGCTTACTGACGGACATGTTTGTACAACTGGTTGTGCTTGTACAAGTACTGCTTTGGGGCGAGTACGGGACAGGTATTTAGAAGGTATTAGAACGTTTCTGATCGGTGGTGAAGCCGTCAGCAGCAGTCTTCAATATCAAGCCTATTTATCGAGTTGTGCCTGGTATGTGTTGTCCTGTATGTTGTCGATATTCGTGGGTATTGTCCAGTTTCTACGTTTCTTTACGGTGGGTACAGTTCCTGTAACAAGGAAGGATGGAGGATGAATCCCTAACCCTGAGACAACAGAGATTTCACCAGAAACCCTTACTCTCGATTCTGCCTGGTGAGGAAAAGGGATGTGAGTCTCCAGATGAATACTTTTCATTCTTTCAGCTGCACTGGAAGACCTACAGACAACGCAGTCTGATGTCGACAGAGATTTGGATTCATTGTGAAATACTCCTCGAGCCTGACCTTGACCGTAGAACAGAAGGGCAAATGGTGAGGGGTCTTCCTCTTCCCG